TCTCTCGCTAAAGCCCAGTCCTGCAAGACTTTCAATAGGGTCTGAATGGGGTTAACTGACTACTGACATTTGCCTGAATTTTTGACTGACAACCGACAAAATATCCTAACTGACTACTGAGAAATGATGAAAAAAATTATAAGTCCGCATTTTGCAGTAACTGACTAATGACAGCTTGCAATATATCACACTGACAACTGACAATTGGCTTAAATTTTAGCTGACAACTGACATCCAAAGACCCCCATTAAGACCCTCTTTCAACCAAAATTTGATGCTTTTGTTTGTATTTTCATTTAGTTCTTTTGTTAAAGCAAAATTTGGTGCTTTTGTTCGTATTTTCATCTAGTTCCTCGAGCACAATTTCATTTCACATTTGTGTTTAAAATGTCTTTCCGCCATTTTGTTTGTTTTGGGAAAATCATTAATTGTACTGCAGCACAATTAATGAAATAATTATACTCCTCTTAACCAATCAGCATCCAGTAATTTTGTCATGCTAATAATAATATACATAAAAGTATTACTCGACTGTGATTGGTTGATTTCAGTGCAGTTAATCCCAAACAGCAGTGCAATTTTCTGTAATCACAGTGCAATTTTCTGTAATCACAGTGCAATTTTCTGTAATCACAGTGCAAAAATCTGTAACAAACTGATCTGATTGGTGGAAAAACAATGTGAAAACTGATCTGATTGGTGGAAAAACAATGTGATGTTTAAATCAACCAATCAGTTTTATTTATTAAAGCAGTTTTGTTTAAAGAAGTAACGGTCACGGCAGGGCATTTTTTAAGAATTCGTCAGGGGGGGGGGGCATCTACAAAAAGGGACCATACTATACCGAGTGTGGAGCAATGATAGATGGTTTGTTGGTAACAAAAAGTTTGGTGTGGTATCGCATTTAATAGTAGGGGGGGGGGGGAGCAGGGCCGTAGGAAGCTCTTTTCGTTTGGGGGCGGGGGGCTGAAAGCGAGGGCCGAAGGCCCGAGGAAATTTTTAAATTTAGAGTCTCTGAAATGCCATTTCCTGGACTTTGGGGAAGATTTGACAGATTTCTTATTGTCAGAATACAGCATTTTTAGTATGTGGAAATTTAGAATTCAGTAGTACTAAATGGACGAAGGTGTATTTAATTAACAATATATTGGATAAGTTGCAGGAAAGTATGGGTAATATGATAATATCTTCATTCTTTGCAGTTTGTCATGGATTAAATAATAAAGGTCTGCATGATTTTAAAAAATGAATGATTATTAGCAAATTATTGGGGGGCTGCAGCCCCCCAGCCCCCCCCCCTCCGCGGTTGCTACGGCCCTGGAGAGGGTCTGGGGTTTTCTCCCCCAGAAAATTTTTGTATTTTTCTACCCCTATGACTGCAATTCCCTGCATTTTCTGAAACAGATTTTTGGATATACAGCATTACATTATGCTGTAGATAGACTGAACCTGCAGTTAAGTACTTGCATAGTATGTTTATGTAGATACCATAACTTGGCAGTCACTTAGGGAGCCAGCTTGATAAACTTAGAGTTCATGACTCCCACGAAGCGCCACCATGGTTGGCACAGAGTGGAAAAATTTTGAAAATTTTGCGTCTCTAAATCATCGGAAATGGCATTTTCAAAGTCTTCTATACGTCTTTTGTTTGGCCCTTTCATTAATTCGTTCATTATGATTTGTGAGTCTATGATATCCGCGAGTCAGGATGGATTATTACGAGAAATGTTATCAAAATATCGATTACAGATATTTGATTATATGTATATATGATTTCATATACTTCTAGTTTCGAAATCAAATTGTTTTTTTTTTGGTGGGGGCCAAAATTATCCCCCCCCCCTTATAAAACACATGATTGAGGGCCTGTTGCCCCCTGCGGTCACTAACTTGTCCAACAACTCAAACTCTATAGGGTCTGGGAAATGCAATCCACTGCCTGGGAAATGTTTAAAATCTAATAAGGTATTTATTAAGCATAAAAGACAGGACATAAGATTCACAAAGCAAATTTCAGTTACTAGAATATCAAACCTCCCTTCTAAATTCAATGTTTTGCTTATATTTTAGAGAAAAGGGACTTTGACTGGGGGGGGGGCAAAATGGTTGAGTGGGGGGGCCACCATGGGGGCTGGGGGGGGGCTTTGGCCCCCCCCCAGTTATATAGTTAAAAAATGCCCTGGGTCACGGACTGCTTCAAAACAAAACAAATATGGCATCGCGCTACATAATGAATAAAAGTTGACTTGACTTTGGTTGGAAAATATGGCTTTTATCTTTGTTTTTAACTGGAAAAGCCTTCACCTTAAGGTGGCTCCATACACTTTTCATCATTGGGGGACTGGTACCTAATCTTGAGATTTCGCGCTGTTATATGTTAAAAATATATGCAAAAATAAATACAACTTTAAATCAGTCTAAAATCCGAACCACAAGTCATGTTTATTTTGATGTTTTGAGTCTTCCTTGTTCTCATTTGTTCTCAAAGAACAAACTTCGTACTGATTTAGCTCTGAACAATTGAATAACTAGTCTTTTTAGAAGACATTTTAAGGTAAAAAATGCAATGTTCAACGTTCAAACTCTTGTGAAAACCGGCGATCGACCCGACCGGCGAAAAGTTTTTTACTCCAATATTTGGCGATTTATAAGTTCATATCCAGATTTTTTTGTACTTACAACTGGTAAATGTATTCAAAGTGTTACTAACAGCAAAGGAATTCAGTGAAACAGCATCATACGCCGGCTCAAACTGTTTTAACTTGTCAATAACATGAAAACACACAAGTTACGACTGAAAACGAATATAAAACTATGTAGAAAAGCCAACAGTAAAGTTCATACATGTCACACATATCTTATACCAAACGACCGACAATCACCTGTTTTCTTGGCGTTATCCCGAGTTAACATGCAAAACTAAATATATTTGCATTTCTAAGCAAGAAAACACAACATATATTTGATATTTCGACGAGACTGAAAACTTTTTTGTGCGTGTTTTTCTGGAGATGCGACTGCGAAAACATGTACGCGCATGCGCATGTCAATTCATTGATCTTGCAGAGTGTGAATTAACTTTGGCCGCGCGAAATAAAACCGTGATTATTTCCAAAACGTGTTCGGTAAGGTACCCTGAAAATGTGTACATGAGTAGATACATACTTCAAGATTTCATGATGGAAAAATAAAAAAAAATTGTCGACAGAAACTGTCAAAAAGTTCGAAATTTAATTCAAAAGAATTGAGTCGACAGATTTTTTTTAAACTCCCAGAAATGTTTCTCGACACTAACGTAACTGTTTATTAAAAAAAATTGGGGTCACCGAACTCATTTTTGAAAAAAAAACTCGAAAAACTGCGATATTTTCGGCTATTTATTGTTACCATTATTCGTTATAGTTGTCATGGAAACGCGACTTTTATCAGAATTCTTCTTGTTTGCGACACGTCTTACTATGTGTTACAATTATAAGTAAAAACTACCCTGTAAAAGCATTTAAACAGAAAATATTCAACTTTTGCTCCTTTGGTTAAAAAGTGTATTGAGCCACCTTAACGTATTAAGTCAAACTACAATTGTCTCGAACATTTTTATGTAAATAATTAATAAGTATAGCATGGTTTCTCGTGAAATTTGGATAAACATGCACTCGCGAGTTTTTCAAAGAGGTCTTTGAAAAACTCGCGAGTGCATATTTATCCAAATTGCAAAACCGTGTCACGTGTCGGTCCACAAAACGTCATGTTCGGTAACCGGTCCGCAATCAAACATTTATTGACCGGTCGATAATAAAATGGGTGCAATACGCATGCGTGTCAACCATGAAGTTCATTTTTTAAAATATTACTAAATATTTACGGCGTTCCATTTATCCAGTTTTGGTTTCAAATTAAGTTCACTCCAATAACCGGTGAATTATTCATACTTTCACACTTATATACTATATTTCAAAACACTTATACTGAGACCTCGGGAAAGCAGTGTGTTTTGTGGACCCAAGACCGCCGTTGTTGCCCGAGGAAAAGCCAAGGGCAACAACGGCGGTCGAGTAAATAAGTGATAATTACTGTCCAAACGGCTTATCAGTAAATAAGTGATAATTACTGTCCAAAATCAGGAGCGTGTCGAAGCATTTGAAGTTAGGTGGGGGGCCGGGGGAGGATCAGATACCCTAGGTCTCCGAGGTATTGTAATTACCATTGACATTGTGTGTGATTACACAATGGTCAAAAGACTGTTTGGTAACTATATACACTCGCAAACCGACAAACAAAAACATGTAAATGTCAAACCTAACTTCCCACTAATTGTAATATTGTCTCCGTGCATTAACACAAAATAAATTTAAAAATTTTAAAAATGTGCATCATCCTGATGTATTTACAATATAAATTTAGTCGAAAGCTAGACAATATTAAAATGTTCATTTTCGGAGTTACCCTTTTTTTGAATTCATTAAAATACTCCGTTTTTTCCATGGTCTCCTCATTTGGTATGTATATGTATGCCAAAATGAGGCTTTATATACATGAAAAGGAGGTAGAAGGCCCCGAAAAGACCAATTTTCGAAAACAGCGCATTTGAAATGACTAAATTTACTGATTACTCTTCTCAAAGATACTTTTCTTCATTCAGGGATATGTTTTGCCACTGAAATACAATTACCAGTGATTTACAACGAAGCTACGTACCGTGAAAAAATTGGTCAACTGGCAAATCTTAATAGAACTGACGTCATCACATTGTTTTGCATTGGTGCAGCAATCATGCCCATGCTCAACATAATGGCGGGTATGATAAAATCCAGTTGTTCGTCTCAGAGGCCATGGGAAACTCTTGGCTTTTAGATAACATTGCTCAGATAAAAACAAGATTTGTGTATACCCGGCTGATAAGTAATCACATACCAGACTATCAAAACTACCTCGAAAATTTAAGCGTCGAAAATATAAATTCGGACATGGCGCCGTTGATTAAGCTTTCCTATGAGCAAATCATGAATTGTACTTTCAAAAATGGTATCAAGAACGTGCAAAGATGCAACTCAAGTCAGACATTTGGAACTTCGTTATTGCCAGGTTACTCGTTCTACGTCAGTGATAAAGTTATAGATGCTGTACACGTTTTTGCGCGTGGTCTTCACCAAGTACTGAAAGCTACATGCCCAACTCTCTCCAACTGTGAGCAAACCACCAAAATATCTGGCTCGTTATTACTCGACACTATCCGTAATTCGAGTATCCCAAGCGTTGATGGCCGGAGAGTTGATATAGATAGTGAAGGTGAGGTGAAAGGAGGATATACATTTCATTACGTCATACCAGGAAACAAGATTGGTACATGGCAGAATATTAATATTGGTAGTTGGCTAGGTCGACTGAAAATGAATTCCAGCTCAATTTCTGTCTTGAAGTCAATCTCTGTTAAAGCACAATGTTCTGAGCCATGTAAAGACAACAAAATTAAACAACGCATCCCTGAAAAACCAGTTTGTTGTTGGACATGCGTGGAATGTCCGGCTGGTTCCATTGCTATTAACGAAACAACATGTTATGCATGTGGGCAGGGATATTTGGCAAACGAACAAACAAGAAAATGTATCAAAATTCAGAAACTGTTCTACAGTTTGGACAAAAGAATCTCAAAGTTACTGGTCATTCCGCCTCTCGTACTATCTGTACTGGGAATTGTTTGTCTTCTTTCCACTCTATGTATATTCATCAAGTTCAATGCCAATCCATTGGTAAAAGCATCTGGTCGTGAATTGTGCTTTTTATTACTAACTGGACTGTTGCTATCATTCCTTTTCCCTGTTGTTTGTATCTGTAGGCCATCACGCTTCAAATGTCGGACGCAATTTATTCTTGACAGTCTTCCCCTCACAATATCCCTTGTTCCAATTGCGATGAAAACTAACCGCGTCGTTCGTATTTTTGACCCAAGACGCAGAATCACAGACCAACCTTCATTCGCGCGTCCACTACCTCAAATAATTTTATCCATCCTGTTGATCAGCATCCAAATTGTCCTCCTGCTTGCATTGGTTATCATGCAGTTTCCCAAGGAGAAAATTGTTTATTTCTTATCGACAGAAGTGCATCTTGTTTGCAGCACAACGCAGACCCAGATCCTTTTTGCACACGTGTATAACTTAATCCTGATAATAATTTGTACTTACTATGGTTTTAGAGTAAGGAATACACCTAGTAAATTTAACGAAGCCAAATGCATTGCATTTGCAATGTATGCATTATGTGTGATGATCGTTGCATTTTTTGTTGTTTTCGTGGTTGCTGCAACTGGAAGTTCAAATGAGATCCTTCAACAGGCTATACAATCCTACCGTGTTGTGCTATTAGCCCATGTCATTTTATTTTGTTTCTTCGCACCGAAAGTTTATATGGTCCTATTTCAACGTGAACGTATCAAAACCCACCAAATTTCCATTAATGAAGAAACCGCAGCTGTCTGCAATTCACAGACACACCAAGTTCTCGTGAGGTAAGCATTGGATAGCTTTAGCAAGCGACGTTTTTGTCAACACGGACGTCAGATTGCCGAGGGGGGACTGGATTAAAAACTACGTTTGTGTCAGTTTGTGGTAATCAGCAACACATATTGAGAAAACATAAGATTTTTATGGATTTTTGCTTCCTTACAGGAGCATGCACTATGATGTAAAATGCCGCCAACATTAGTTATACTAATTTTTGGGTGACGTCCGTGTTGACAAAAATGTTGCTTGCTTAAGCTCACTATATAATACCTAATAGTGATAATAACTAAATCAGGATAAACTACGAGCATAATATTCTACAACGTATCATTGTCTCAGTGCGATCGCACTTTCCTCTTGGCTTGTAGTCGTGGTATAAAGCAGGTATAAAAGATACTAAGCAGGGTAAGCTATTTGTGAAGAGGGTTTCAGTCTTCCCGTCACTCACGAGCATCGCCTTTTCCCGGGCTGTCCAGTGAGCTCTATATATATCTGGAGTAAGAACTTCAGTCATTCGACCTATGTGATAGTGAAGCCAAGATGGGAGAATTAACGTCCAATAGCTATGAAGGTCGTAAACAGTTTTAATACTACCTCCTCCGCAGGCCCTTAGGGAGCATTTCGGGCAGGTTCGGAAAATTCTAAAAGTGGCCCGCAAAAATTTGCACCGCCCGCAAATGTGCCCGGAAAAAGGGCCTGCGGAGGAGGTAGGTTTTAATACCATTTTCCCAGCTTATTTCAGTTTTTTTCTTTGAGACCGGATCGCTAAAGATGTTTCCAGTTCATAAAATCATAAAATTACTATTAGTCTTTAAAGGGAAATGGCAATATATTTTTTATTTTCTCATTTGAAAGAACTATTAAGACTGTATATAATACTCTTTTACCGTTTTTTCATATGTTGCTTACTTGTACAAATATTTTGATCGAAATGAATGAAATATCCGCCATTTTGTAGATATGCATGTCACGTCACAACAGGGGTCACGCAATATTTTTTATCTAGACAACCACTGATCATTTGGCATTCTGTTTGCCCTTCGAAATATCGAGATCACTCAAAACCTTTAAGGGACCGGTCATTAATAATGGAAGGGGGCGGTGGGTGACTGAAAAGGGGGACGGCTTCAACTATTTTCCCTGAATTGGGGGTGGCCTCAAACTGAAAGATATGTAACAAGGGGCGACCGCAATTTTTTAATACTTTCCTACTCATTTTCAATCTCTCGCCTTTATCGTATCCCACAAAATGTTTCACCTTTTTTAGTTTCTATAATCGTAAAGTAAATAAAAACCATTTTGAATACTGATCCTCTAATTATTTAGGCTGCACAATGTCTTACACCAGTACATGTACCATTACCTATTTTACACCAAAAAATGTAACGAATTAAATGCTGGGGGGGAGGTCCTCTAGATGAAGGTGGGGGCGTCTTGAAAATAAAGGTCTTGCGATTGGGGCGGCTCTAAAAATGTTCAATATTTGTTCAATATTCGTCCACCTCCCATTATTAATGATCGGTCCCTAAAGCATTTACCAATCAATATTTGGTCAGCAACGAGTACTTTTATATGGTTAGTCCCTGTTGTAACGTCATCAAAATTACCGTAAATGAGATAAAAAATTTATCCAAAATGGAGGACATCTGATTACTTCAATGAAAATATTTCAAGAAGTAAGCAAGATATGAAAATCAGCAAAAGTTCTTTCAAATGAGAAAATAAAAATTATATTGCCTTTCCCTTTAATTAAATGGAAGTCAAAATACGAAATTTCCGGACTCCTGGTAGCTTCGTCTTGGAACTGTGCAGACAAAAACAATAGAAAGGGACTGGATTGGCGTCCAATAGTTCTTCAAATTCCGCCATGCATCTTTGGCTTTACTTTTGGGACTTGAGTTCTCGCTCCATATATATATGGAGCTCATTGAGGCTGCCTAGCCCGCGAATAGCCTGCTTACTTGCGAATAGCCTGCTTGCTAAAAAACAAAACAAAAATACTACAAAAAAAACAAAACAAAAAGCGTCTGCGCAGGAGAGTGGTGCGATCAACACCACGGTGAAACGTCCGTGCATGTTTAGGGTTCGATCATTATTAATAGAAATTAAGGGGGTTGATAAATGGGACTGAATAAAGATTGAAAACTTTGTTTGCTGCCTCCGCTCTCCCTTCCCATAAACTATGACTGTTCCCTTACTGCTGTAATCAAAAGACTGGAAATAGTATTGTCTTCACGAAGTTCTGGCTAAAAGTTTAAAGTGGCACTATCATTAAATTTTTTTTTCATAATCCAGAAATATAACGTATGCTTGATATTCTTACCAAATTTCAAGGCAAAATTCGTTCATCTTCCTGACTTTTTTACGATTCTTATTTGCCAATTTTACGGCCGCCATTAAACGCGCCCAATTAAGCGAGAACGCCGAGAAGGCGTTTGGTTTTGAAGAGGATGTGACGTCATTCACTCAACATGCCGAATGCTTTTATTGTATTTCACTACTAGTCAGAAACGTCAGAAAGTGAACACTCGCATGGGAACAAAGCGAGCTGTGATGAAGAAACGTACGGTGACTCACATTCAAGTGAAAATAGTGATGAAAAAAAGAAATCAAACCTAGAAAAGTTAATATTTGTTGACAATATAGCTATGGCTATCTTGTTTGTTGTTGAAAACATGTTCTTTGGCACAAACTTACTTTTGAAGTTGAAAAGGATAATTTTCATCACTCGTTCAAAGTTTGCCTTTAGCATTTCTCACGTACACAAAACATAAGCAGCGATGGAAGGAAAACCTTTAGCGTACTGCGTATAATAATAAACTTTCGGTCAATCAAAATACGAACAAAAATACAAACAAATGCCTTGCATTAAATTTATAAATAATATTTATATTATATTATATTTATATTATAATATTTAAATTTATAAATTTATAAATAATATTTATTATAAATAATATTTCAATGCATGTGTGTCTAATAACTGTCTATCGGTCTATTTCTGTATGTTTAACGACTGTAGATTAAACTGACATGCACTAGCTCAGGGAATTTTATAGTGCAAGTAAATATCCTACGACTCTACGCGCGTTTTCGCTTGCCGTATTAAAGATTCATTGTAGGCCGGCTAGTATTGTATAGCAAACTATATACAGTATAAAAAGGTCACACGCAACGGGGATAAATACAGTAGTTGATTTTACAACTTGCATTTGAAAACTAGATGTGTAATTTTCAACTTGCACGGCGCCCATTGCCATTGGCATTGAAGGTCTATAAAAGTATTAGTCTAGGACCTGTATATGAGTTTGTATGCATTTCATTTAGCACAGATAATCTCAACTGTTTTAGGGTAAGTTGACCATGACGGTCAACATGGTAATGCTGTCCGAACCCCAATCCGGGACGAAACGCCCGAAACCGACCACACCCAAAAACGACGCTTTCGCCATAGTGCTATCTACCAAACTATACAAGCTTTGGCTATTCTGAAGTGCTTATATGGTTCAGAGATGGTGCTTTTAGGGGTGGTCATTGGTAAGTGTGAAATGCCTAGCACTGATATTTCACAAGAAAATGACCATGCAATACTCATAGCAAACGTCAATTTGTGGCTTACAAATTCAGATAAACAGCAGTGTACCTATATTACCTTTTTTCCTAAATCTTTTTGATAGAAACATAATTGGTGCTTATTTAATTATATGAACCCAGATTTTCATCAGAGCAATAAAATCCCACTTATTGGATCCTGGCCAAGGGCTTGCTAGTTGCGGGAAATTGTATCTGCACCGCAGGCTAAGGGCTTGCACGCTCAAAACGAGATTGCATGTATTCTGCAATAAGCTGTCCTGGCTTTTGTCTGGTAAAGTTCTACTTCTCGTATTTGAACTATTACAACATATATTATTATTCATATTGTGACATAAGTTGGTATTTAGCCACTATCTAGAATAACAACAAACGATTCATTATGGTTTTTCTTGTCCACACTAGTTGACTTTTTCTTATAGGTTTGCTGCTGTGCATTTTAGCTTCCCAGACATGACCATACTGTTACCCTGTCCATGAGAGGGATATATGTGTTGATAATATAAATACTGTGGATTCGATTGGGAATATTGAATAAGTAAATAAACACTGATCTACTCCATTGATAATATCTATGTGCATTACCACCATTGTTCACCTCACCTGTAGTGTCCTAGGACTGGATTAAAACTAATTCAGTCCTTGAACTGGATCAAAATTAACTAAGTGGTAATTTATTTGTATGGATGTCATTTCAAATCCTCCAATTTGGACTGGACTAGATTTCAAGTCCTCACATTTTGATCCAGTCCTCTGCTTCGCCTCGGACGTAATCAAATTGTGTGGACTTGAAATCTAGTCCAGTCCTCATAGTCGGATTTGAAATATTATCCCTTGTCAAATCAGATGCCAATGGTGGCCAAGGAAGATTCAGTTTTGGTATTTCTTGCAGCATTGTATAGAATTTGTAAGTCATTGACTTTAGAATTTCCCTCAGTTTCTGTGTTGGAATTCACATCATCATAATCAATGGTACAGCTCTCTTCATCAAAGTCCTCATCATTGTTTTCAGACTTAGGGCCTGTTTATATGGAAGCCGGCCTGATAAGCGAGACAGCCTAGTAAGCGAGATCTCGCTGTGTAGTTATTTTTATAGTAAAAATTATTGTGCGTTTATATGGACAAGCAGGCTGGCCCGGTTGCCGAGATCTCGTTTGAAAGAGGCTAGATCTCGCTTACCGGGATGGAAATTTCTCCATATAAACATTTACAAGAGGGCTATCCCGGTTGCCGGGATGAAAGTTCAAAGATACCACCGCAATCTATTTTTAACAACTGTCAAAACAATACAATGTAACAAAATCGTCCCGGCAAGCGGGATGAAAGTTTCTCATATAAACACAAGAGAAATTCATCCCGCTTACAAGGCTGTCTCGCTAAGCGGGCCAGCCCGACTTCCATATAAACAGGCCCTTAATTGACATATGTTCCTCAACCAATTCAGAAGAATCCAAATTTTCCACAAATACAATCTCACTAACATTTCTCATTTTCGGTACACATAACACAAGTTGGGGATAACTTTTCATCAGTCATTGCTTGAGTTTAAAAGCTCTATATTTAGATGCATCCACATTCTCAGTGTCCTTAGGAATGATAACAAATTTCTCCAGCAAATCTTGATTCTTTCATATACTTTATTTGCTTATTTCTGATAACCTCCATCTCAATTACTTTTTTACAGAACACATCATAAGACTTCTCGTACACTGATGCTCTTGTTGCTTCTTCGTCTCTCTGGTGAGAAATATTGTATAATTGCAGTAGCAAACTTTGTGATAGCGGATTTCCAGAGCTACACAGTCTTCCACTGGACTCGCATGAGTATCTGTTGATCATTCTTTCTCTCGGCAGCTGTACGTAGAAGACCAGCATCAATTGTTTCTGCCAACATGAGTGGGGTTGTTCTTCTCTTCTTAGTTGCCTGGTGTGAAACAAAATAAATTATTAAACTAAATATCTACTAATAACAAGGTTGGATGTTTGTAGCATAGAAACTACTTTACCCTAAGTAAACTTAATTGATCACAATTCAATATATTTTAAAACCAAACCGGAGAATGTTGTGCACATTGCGGCGATTGCGCTAGTATTATACCTATCAAAATGACCATACCTTGTCTAGTGAGAACCACGAGGCGTCTCTTCCACAAATAATAAATATCTCTGGGAGTACATGCGCGTTTCTTTTAGGCAGGGCCTTTATAGATCTTTATATTTATAGCTTCTGCGACTGATTGACGTGTAATTTTTCGCCTTGGTTCTATAGAACTTGTATTGCCTCCACTTCCACGTGTGATTCTTCGGTAGAAGTTACAGTTTTACAGCTAGTTCCTTCTCCTTTTTCTTCTTTCCTCTGTGATCTACATATCTTCTCTTCATCACAAAATCACTTCCAGCATTTCATATGATGGTTCCATTCTAAGTTAATGGTGTCAGGGTTCTTCTCCATGTATAAATTGACAGATCCGTCATCGATGTTCTCGTACCGATTTCTTAGCTATTTCAGCTTGTTGACATTTAAGTTTGGCCCATTTTGACCTACACTCAAGAAATTTCTTAAGCCTTTGGCGTGTAACTTTGCAAAGTTGCTCCGTAACGCCATCAAAATGCATAAAACACGAGGATATTCGAGTTTTAAAAATATCTTCAGCCATGTTTATTTGCATAACTGAGCGTGTTTCCACTTCGAAGCATGTGCGTTGGTTGTGCGCGTGCGCAGTGCGAGTTTGGGTGAGTTGCGCATGCGTATTTGCTATCAAAACAATGGCGGTTCGAATATTTCGAAGCGCGAAAATATCAAACTTTGGAGGGATTTTTCTCCCAATTGTGCACCTGTTTCGCTTGGGGAGCAACGGATTCTTATAAAGTAAGTTTTTATCTATTTATTCATGTGAAAATTACATAGTTACACGAGGGGTGCAACGGAATCCGTTTTCTAAGCATCTTTTGGATGCTCATCCTACGGGGGTATGACTAAAGGGAGAGTTACCAACCGGAGAGTTATCTCGGAGAGTTAATGTAATTAATGATTTCGGAGAGTTATGTTCGAACCACGCCCGAACCACGCCCACTTTCCCCAATGACCACGCCCAATTTCGTAACTCTCCCGACGTTTCCATGAACTAACATGAGAGAGTTATATTTGACGTAACTCTCTCTCGTTAACATTATGAAGATGTTAGAGAGTTATCATTTTTTATAACTCTCCGGCGTTCACGATTGTGGCAATGAAGAGAGTTATGTCAGCAGTTTTGAGAAAACCTTAGTAAAGCTTGTTTCTTCAGATTTTCATCTTATATTTTGGTATTTCAGTTTGTAGCGTGTCAATAGCGTGCGTCCAAACAGGAAATAGTACAACTTGACGTCCAAACAGGAAATAGTCAAAACAATGAGATGCTTGCATCAGAAGGGTCAAAGTACCCCCAGAAGCATGCTTTGACGTGTATTTGGCAGTAAATACGACAAGCATACTTGCAAGAAAATTGAAAAAATTGCGAAAATTGAATCTTTCAGAAATTCAGGTTTTGCAAATACTTTCCCAGATCAGCCAATAGGGCATTACATTGGAAAGATTTTCTGGTTCTATCTAATACGAGAGCTGTATCTGAATGCTGGGCTTTGTAGGTAATCCAAGTGAGCATGTATAATAATTTATTTACTCGTACTCGCTTCACTTGGTAAGTACTAAAGTACTACTAGTTTACTAATTTCTACTAGCGTGAAATGTTAAAGCTGCAACTTGAGAAAAAAGTAAATTCACAATAATTTACTAAAATGTGGAAGTTTTTTTTCAAAAACCTGACATAACTCTCTTCATTGCCACAATCGTGAACGCGGTGAGTTATAAAAAATGATAACTCTCCAACATCCTCATAATGTTAACGAGAGAGAGTTACGTCAAACATAACACTCTCTTGTTAGTTCAAGGAAACATCGGGAGAGTTAAGGAATTGGGTATGGTCGTTGGTAAAAGTGGGCGTGGTTCGGGCGTGGTTCGAACATAACTCTCCGAAATCATAACTCTCCGAGATAACTCTCCACTTCATAACTCTCCGTTTAGCCTGTCCCATCCTACGGCCTACTAGGCAAAGTAAGCATTTTGTCATACTTTGCCACACGAGATTTGTACGGACTACGGAATGTTTCGAAAGACTTGTAAGCAACATCTTACAGGGTGATAAAATGCTGCATTTCGCATTTTTTAATTGTATTTTTATTTTAATACCCTTAACAAAGGGTTAAATTTGTCATTATCACTTGTTATAAGGCTTCAATGGAAGAAGAACGAGGCCGAAATGTGGACAACCGAACGGGATGACAAAATGGCGCCGAATTTGGACAAAGTTGAGGTTTTACTTTGTCGATGGTTAAACAGGTAGGATCTACTTGAAACCCAGTTAAAACTTGTTTAAAATGTGCTTGATACCGTTATGTTTGAGCTGAATTGCATATTTGGAAGGATTTCAACGAGATCTGCGATAAACAGCGGAGTAAAATGGAGAATTTGGCCAAATACGTCCATTTGCATTTCAAATTATTATTTTGGTCACAAAATATTAACCATTTTACACCAAAACAGTGATAATATAATTAAATAAGCACCAATTATGTTTCTATCAAAAAGATTTAGGAAAAAAGGTAATGTAGGTCCACTGCTGTTTATCTGAAGTTGTAAGCCACAAATTGAAGTTTGACTATGAGTATTGCATGGTCATTTTCTTGTGAAATATCAGTGCTAGGCATTTCACACTTACCAATGACCACCCCTAAAAGCACCATCTCTGAACCATATAAGCATTTCAGAATAGCCAAAGCTTGTATGGTTTGGTAGATAGCACTATGGCGAAAGCGTCGTTTTTGGGTGTGGTCAGTTTCGGGCGTTTCGTCCCGGATTGGGGTTCGGGCAGCGTTGCCATGTTGACCGTCATGGTCAACTTACCCTAAAACAGTTGAGATTATCTGTCCTAAATGAAATGCATACAAACTCGTATACAGGTCCTACACTATATGGAAAACAAATATTGAACTGATTTGAAGCCAAAAAGTATTGGAGATTCCATGGTGAAACATCTAAACCCCTCCAAGTTGCGTAAAGGCACAAAGCATAATATCAACGTGCAAACCTTCAGTGGAGCCAATGTTGCTGATATGCGTTATTATGTGAAACCAGCAATATCAAAATCCCCTGACTATCTGCTCCTACATGTTGGAACTAATGACTTAAAGCGACAAACCCCTCAACAAATAGCTGGGTCAATTTCTACGCTTTGCCAGGAAATCGTAAAGGAATCACCAAATACTAAGATTGTATTATCGAAAGTTATAACCAGATCTGATGACTCAAGCCTAGATTCCAAAATCAAAGAACTAAATTGCAAACTATCACAGGTATGCCATAATAATAAATGGGGTGTATTAAATCATACCAATATTACAGCAGATCACTTGAATCCTTATGGTCTCCACTTAAATAAGCAAGGAACAGCAAAGTTGGCCAAGAATATTATAGATCATTTCAAAAACTTAAATTGACAAACGAACAATCAAAATAATATTACTCCCTCAGATGATAGTAATATACAGAGGTTTAATGCCATCGAAAACGATAATGCCAATAATGCTAATAGCCCTCTGGGTAATGATGTAAATAGACAACAGTCACACGCTAGCGGCTCTCTTTTTCCTAAACTTAAAGGTTTTAAAGTATGTCATCTAAATATAGCAAGTTTGATAAAACGCTATGATGAGCTTTTGCTATATATGCAAAACAAACTTTTTGACATTATAACGCTTAACGAAACTAGATTAGATAGTAGCGTACTAAACGGTGAAATTGAAATTCCTGGTTATGATATTGTTAGGCGTGATCGAAACAAAAGCGGAGGAGGTGTTGCAATGTATATTAGAAGCAACATACCATACACCATTCGCAAAGACCTCTTCCCTGATAATTTAGAGTTGATTTGCGTAGAAATTAAAAAAATTAAAAGTAAACCTCAGTTAATTACAACATGGTACAGACCACCAAATTCCAGCGTTGAGCTGTTTAGCGAATTTGAAATTTTTTTAAAACTACTTGAGGACGAAAATAAAGAAATTATCATAACCGGAGATCTCAATTGTAACATTCTTGAGCAGAACAAAAGTTTGCCTACTTCTAAACTAATTGACCTGATTGACATTTATCAATTACAGCAACACATACAGTGTCCCACGAGAATTACTAATACAACAGCATCACTACTGGATGTTATCCTCACTTATTATGGTGATGATAAAATATTAGATACAGGAGTAATACACCTTGGTATCAGTGATCATAGTCTTGTTTATCTGTGTCGAAAGCTCAGCATTCCTAAGGCGCCACCAAAAACTGTCTTTACTAGACATTATAAAAATTATAATGTTAACCAGTTTAACAACGATCTAAGTGAGGTTTTTAGTTTGCCCTTGGATTCAGCTATTTTAACTGACCCAAATGCCTTATGGAACGATTTTAAAAATAAGTTTTTGAGCGTCGCAGATAAACATGCACCAATCAGACAAAGTCGTGTCAAGAGTGAATATAAACCGTGGCTGACAAATGAAATTAAGCAAATGAGCTATCGTAGGGATTACCTTAAAAAGCAATCGATTAAATTAAGATCTGCGTATTATGATAAGGCTTACAAGAGATGTAAAAACAAGTTAAATAATCTCATAAAAGAAACTAAACAAGAATACTTTAGAGATAAACTAAGCAATGCTAAAAATAGCAAAGAAAGTTGGCGAACTATTAACGAATTATTAAACAAAAAGCCTAAAACTTCAGAGGTTAAAGAACTAGATATAAATGGCCAACTTATTACTGACGATGATAAAATTTAGAAGTTAAACGAAACTTACCTGGAAGTTGAAGTTTGACTGGAATTCTATCCCATAAGATTAGTAACCAAGGACTGACAAGAAGAACGAACGCAGGCTCACCGGGAGTGACATCACATCATTATTTGAAAGCAACGCACAGTGACCAAGCATAAACAGAACCAACAAGCAATATCATCAGACTGACAACCCAGTAGGAGTGGGCGGGTGGGCTTGTCAGTCCTTGGTTACTAATCTTATGGGATAGAATTCCAGTCAAACTTCAACTTCCAGGTAAGTTTCGTTTAACTTCTAAATTCTATCCCATAAGTCGTAACCTACGGACTGACATGAAGTCTTCAAAGCATGCGAGGTCGCTGTGAGTATAAAAAATACCGACAATACAAACTTATGCAAATAAGTTTGATCTGAATGTTTAGAAATAAATAAGTTTCCCTTATACACACTATCCAACCACTGAAACACAATATTCTAATAAATATTACGTACGATAAGTGTAAGATCTACTCAATAACCCCTTTGTAATAGAAGCGCCTAAATGTGGTAGCATTACTCCAACCTGCTCTTTGCAGAATTTCATCTACTGGAAGATCTGCTGCATAGGCTGCTGTTGCAGCCGCGTGTCGTGTAGAATGTGGTTTGAATAAAGTAATGTCAATACCAGCACCGGCTAAGACAATTTTAATCCATCGAGCTAAAGTTTGAGATCCAATAGCACGATGCGGTTTTATCGTTGCAACGAGTAAATTGACACTTTGTCGTAAATGTTTAGTCTTCTCAAGATACGCTTCTAAACATAAATATGGGCAAACATCAGAATCCAAATTGTATCTAGGAACAATAACAGGTGGAACTGAATAATTTGGTCTGCTTTGTTTGATATGCTTATCAAGAACAAACACAAATTGAACATCTGATTGTATCATGCAGCCATTGTTAATATTGAGGTGTATTAAAGTTTGCTTCCGCTGAATAGTCACCAAAGCCAATAACATTGTTAATTTGTGACTAAGCTCTTTAAGACTTAAACCACTGTTAGGGGTGAACGTTTTCAGATAAGCCAAAACTGTTTGGACATCCCAGATAGCATGATGCTTATTAGCAGGTGGTTTCCGTTCAAATGCCCCTTTTAGGAAACGACAAACTATTGGGTGCTTCCCCACTGGAAAGTTACCAATAGAAAGAAAACATGATAACGCTGATCTGGCACTGTTAATACTAGAATATGATAAATGCAATTGTGTGTACAAGAATTCCAAAACTTGATTTAAAGTAGGGGAATGTGCAAGAATTTTCCTTTCACGACAGAATAAATTCCATTTTTTAAGATAACTCGCATACTGTTTTTGTGTAGAAGTTCGCCATGAATCGAGGAGTACACCGGTAATGTGGTCAGAAAAGCCCTGGTTCTGATAATGTTGCCGGACAAGGGACATGCCATCAACTTCAGTTTTCCTTGCATGCTGTGAACCTTGCCTAATGGGTGTCTCAATAAGTCCACTTGAGGGGTCCACAACAACAGCTTTGGCTGCTGAATGAGCATCTGTAGAAGAAGAGGGTACCATGTTTGTGTGGGCCATGCAGGGACCAGTAAAACCCCTTCGGCTTGGTCTCGAGAGATTTTCTCCAGACATTTCGGAATGAGACTAAAAGGAGGGAAAGCATAAAAATATTCATTCGCCCATGATACACTAAAAGCATCCACTATTGCAGCATGTGGATCCGGGTGCCAAGAGGCATACCGTGCTACCTGTCTGTTCAACAAAGATGCAAACAGATCAATACTAAACTTAGGGAATTTTTTGGAGAGTTTGTGAAAAATATCCGTATTAAGCTGCCATTCATGATCTGACAGATGTTTTCTAGAAAGTGAATCTGCAACTACATTGCTGGGTCCTGGAATATAATTAGCAGTGACCCATATATTGTGGGAAATGCACCACGCCCAAATCTTTCTGGCTACTGTATCACAAGCAGAAGATCTACATCCCCCCATGTGATTGATATAACTAACGGCAGTCATATTGTCTAACTCGAATTTAATGTGGACGTCAGACTTCTCCATACCAAATATTGTTAAACATATAAAAACAACATACAGTTCCCTTACATTAATATGTAGGGTACGCTGTTCACTTGTCCACAAACCCTGAGACTGTAACTGAGGATTAGTAGTACACGTTACGCCCCAGCCAAGATCACTAGCATCAGTCTGAAAGATATAGGAGATGACGGGATGACGTAGTCGCCTAGATGCATGCATTACATGTGTAGTCCACCACTGAAGCTCCTGCTTTGCTGCCTCAGAAAGGTGCATAAATGCCCGATAATTTCCATTATTCCGTGCAAGGGCGTTAATTTTATCGCGTTCAAGATTGCGATAGTGTAACCGACCAAACTCAACCCCAGGGAGGGCAGAGATAAGTGTACCAATAACACTAGCAACGAATTGAATTGTAAGTTTGTTGCCACGCAAAGCCTGTAAACAGAGATCTCGCAATTTGACCTTTTTCTCTAGGGGAAGTTTTACTATCATTAACAAACTATTTATTAAGAACCCCAAAATTAAGAGCTCTTGGGAGGGTATCAATGCACATTTGTCAGGGTGGACATGCAACCCGAGACTAATAAAAAGTCTAACACTATCCGATACATTAACTGCGCAATCCGAAAATTCCTGACCTTGAAAATAAAAGTCATCAATAAAACCACTGTTAATGTGTCCTTTTTGTCGAAGAGTAGCCAAAACTGGCTTCATGACTTTGGTGAAAATTCTGGGAGAACTAGTTAGCCCCATGGGCAGTACACAAAACTCATACAGTTGTTCATTCCAAACGAATTTGAGAAATTTCCGTTGTTCGTCTGCAATAGGAATAGTGTAATATGCATGCTTTAAATCAATAGAAGCCATATAGGCTCCTGGAGTAACAAGACTAAGAATTGCAGCAAGCGTATCCATTTTGAAATGTCTGTAAAGAACAGCCTGGTTACAGCGCTTAAAATTAAAAATCAATCGATATGAACCATCCGGTTTTGGTACTACAAAAATTGGAGATATACATTCTCCCGCAGCATGCATCGATTTTGATATGACTCCAAGCTGCAGTAGTTTATCTACTTCCTTACTAATAATATCATGTTGGTGGACATTAAAATACTGATGCCCTGGAATGCTATATTTAGAAGGGTCAGCAATGAACTCTATGTGACAATGCTCTATATTATCTAAAATCTCTGGGTCAGATGTGATCTCTGACCATTTAGAAACACAATTCTTAGTATTACCAGCCCTAAAACCTGGCTGCTCAGAAATAAGTGATTTAACATTAGTTAATAAGTCAACATACCAGTTGCGAGTGGGCTTTTGGTTGCTTGCTTTCGCTCGTACTGGGGCACATTCTGAAAATTCTGGTCGTGCCTTTACACACTTTGTGTTTGTTGAACTCGGCCATCTCTTTAACGCGTTTAGCAGTGTCGCCTCCAAAAAGAAATTCGTCAGCTGGACTCGTAGTACTACAAAGCCCCTTGGCAAATTCCGCTTTAAATTGAGGTCTGATAGCATCCCGTCGTCGTTGATTGAGCTCATAATTAGCAGTCATTGCCAGTGTGAGGCCATCTAAACAACTGTTTAGAACATCTTTGGACACATTAGCCGACAGCAAGGAATTAGTTGCTTCAAGCTGGCAATTAATAGAACCTAACAATGCAGCTTGTGTTGACTGAAATTTAATGTCTGTAACGCGTGCCTTGCCAGGAATTTCATTCCAAATACTTGGTTCACATTTAGGCAGGCATAATTGAACATTTTCGGGTGTATTATGACGTTTGGCGATCGCTTTAGCTTGATCTTGGCTTACTCTTTGCAGTCGCAATTTATTAACCAAATCGCCAATTTTCTGACTAATTGCTGGCCCTTTAACATCAACGTTAAGATCTAATTGTTGCTCATATTGCAAAATTTCAGCTTCATTTGCATTGGCATTAGTGATGTCGGCACTAACACGGTCAACTTGTCCGCCTGATTGAATTAAACTATCAATGTCCGCCTGAATATCGACATTTTCAGGATTCTCAACATGGTCGTCAGTTGGCTGAGAATCTATTTCAACATCATCTTCCTGATATTGCTCAGTAAAGCTTGTAAAATTTTCGTTTAAGCGATTCAAACTCATTAAAATCGCGCGGTTCACTGCACTTTGATCAAAATTTTCATCAATAGTGCTATCTAAGTCAAGATCGCTCACTGGCGGATCTATAGGCCTTGAACTTTGCTCTGCACATATGCTCACACTGGAGACACTGGCCTTCGACATGGTCTAGGAGAGAAACGTAAAAACTACATTACTATAGTATATTTTAAAAGACACACCTAGATTTCGTAATCGCTCCGACCATGTCCATATAATGAATGCCGTACAAGGTCATTCCAGGTAAAAATAAGCGGAATTCGTACAGAATACGCTGCACCTAAACTGATATTTCATCCAAACTTATACTTACCTAACTCTCGTCGAAAACCAAAACTTGAACTGGAACTCGAAAATCGACGTCTACTCCCAACGGTTGATCCTTGTTCAATGATGTGATGTCACTCCCGGTGAGCCTGCGTTCGTTCTTCATGTCAGTCCGTAGGTTACGACTTATGGGATAGAATTGCAGATGCCTTCAATCAATATTTTTCCACAATTGGCAGTACGTTGTCTGACAAGATCACGGGTAACTGCACTGATCCAATGAACTTTGTGACTCCTCTTGATGGTAGTATATTCAACTTTACAAGCATTACACTCCAAGAAACAATAGATGCACTCAATGAAATTAAAACTAAGAAATCTTCAGGGCTTGATGGTATTAGTATAAGGTTACTAAAAGATGCATCTAACATTGTGGCAGGACCACTAGTGAACATATTCAATGTATCCCTTCAAAGAGCAATTTTCCCTAATGATTGGAAATTAGCAAAGGTGACCCCCATATTTAAAGAAGGAAATAGGGCAGACTGTGAAAATTATAGGCCAATATCTGTTATTTCAGCTGTAGCTAAACTTTTCGAAAAACTGGTATACCTGCAGCTAAGTTCATTCTTGAGGTTGAATGGCATTCTTGTGGAACAGCAGTCTGGCTTCCGTCATCAACATTCTACTGAAACTGCACTGCTTAGTTCTACAAATGAATGGTTGTTCAATATGGACAGAGGTTTACTTAGCGGAGTTTTATTTCTAGACCTTAAAAAAGCTTTTGATACTGTCGACCATCATATTCTTTTATCAAAGCTTGAATTATATGGTATCAAAGGAACTAGCCTGAAATGGTTCGAATCATACGTTTCTGGTCGAAGCCAAATATGCTCTGTGAATGGCAAGATGTCAGCTGTTAGACAAATAAAATGCGGGATACCTCAGGGCTCTAACCTTGGGCCTATTTTATTCCTATTGTACATAAATGATCTTCCTAACTGTTTAGAGACAACTAAAGCAAATCTTTTTGCTGATGACACAAGCCTTTCTTATGAAGGGTTTAGTCCATATGAAATTGAGATCAAACTTAATAAAGACATTGAAAATGTTCATAGGTGGTTGACAGCTAACAAGCTCTCATTAAATATGAAAAAGAGTGAATTTATGATAATAGGATCAAGACGTCGCTTAGCTTCAATTGAAAATAGCCCAGTACTAACATTAGGGGGAAACAACATTAAGCGAGTTTACCAAAAAAAGTCACTAGGCATGATCCTTGACGACCAGTTAAAATGGAATAAACATAATGAAATGCAATGTAAAACAATTTCAAATAATATCGCCCTGCTGAAAAGAGCAAAATTGTTTGTCAATAGAGATAGTCTGATAAAAATCTACAATGCCTTAGTGTGGCCTCATTTCAATTATTGTTCAACAATCTGGAATGATGGATGTTGTTCGATAATTGATAAATTGTTTATACTGCAGAAGAGAGCAGCGCGTGTGATAACAGGAGACACATATGAGGTTCGTTTCATGCAAACGCTAGATAGTCTTAATTGGCTTCCAATAGAAGAACTTCTAAAACAACGACAGTTAATAATGACATTTAAAGTACTAACTGGTCGATTACCTCGATACCTTGAAAAATTGTTTTCAGTAAGTCAAAATGACAATTACAATCTAAGAAGCAATCAAATTAAATTGAACCTACCCAAACCTAAGACAAATTTTCTCAAACGAAGTTTCTCGTATAGAGCTGCTAAGTCCTGGAACGAACTTCCAAGTGAAACTATTGAAAATTATAACAATCTTTCAACTTTGTCGTTTAAACGGCAATTACTTAATTCATCCGTATCAATTCATTGTAAATAGTTATATTCTTTTTGTCCTTTTTATATTATTGTTGTAAACACACGGCCCTTTGAAAACCAGCGCTGTAAATATTATCTGCTGAACAGGCTACCGTGTTTAAATAATTTTATTAAAGATTAAAGATTAAAGATGAAGCATTATTAATTTAGCATATTAATTCTGCGATTCGGTCCCGAGACATTTATATTCGTTCTATTTATAAAAATTATCCGATTCAAATGCAATTAGTTGTAAAATCTGAAATCAACTTATTGTTATTGTATGCAATAACCTTTCGTACAGTAATATCAGTACCTCGATATATACCGCGTTTATACGTGTTCCAGGGCAAGCGAAAATGCAGATAAAGTCATAGGATATATAGAGTCGGCGGCCAATTCCCAATATCTGACCAGTAGGAATCGGCCCAAGGAATCCGCTAATTTCCAATATCTGACCGGTAGGAATCCGCTCATCCTTAGGGGTGCGGATAATAAATGGAATGACCCGTTTATAGCTATAGCTTACATTTATTGTCAACAAATATTAACTTTTCTAGGTTTGATTTCTTCTTTTCAACAGTATTTTCACTTGAATGTGAGTCACCGTACGTTTCTTCATCACAGCTCGCTTTGTTTCCATGCGAGTGTTCACTTTCTGAAGTTTCTGACTCTCCTTTGTACGAAGACATTGTTGAAATAGTAGTGAAATACAATAAAAACATTCGGCGTGTTGAGTGAATGACGTCACATCCTCTTCAAAACGCTTTCTCGCTTAAAGAATGAGTCTCAACCGTGATGCATTGCGCGCTTATGTTTATTTACAAACGCTGAAAGAACCTGTCCGCAGGCAAAGTGGCAAACACGCAGGCGGTATCACTGTACCACAGGGGGGCCAACTAAGAGCTGTGTTATGAATATGAATAAAACATTATTAAACGTAATATGAATAAAACATCATAACGTAATATATTTAAAATATTGCACTTACTTGTATAAATCATAAGAGCTTGTATTTCCAGTGAATAGCTTCAAACAGGGCGCTTATGTTCAGAAACATTGCCACTGGCTTCAAACGATTGTTCAAATATGGCAAATAAATTGACAAAACGAAAATATTACATGACATTCCATCGAAAATAACAGCAAGGATTGCGGGCGCGAGCGGAAGGCGAGGGTATAGTAGATATTAATAGAAGGGATGAAACACCGGTAATGCGATCGTGTGATGTGTTCCATAAGTAGCCTGTTCTCTCGGAAAATTCCAAAACGCCTCCTGCCAACTCCAACAAAGCCTAAGCGCTTAATTAATGAAAATAAACAATGTTTAGCTATACCGGCTAATGTCGGGATTGCTTCCCCGACAATAAAGAAATCACTCACTCACTAACGTTTACAAAAGATTATATTTTTCGCTTCACAAATCACAGAAATATCTCGCCCTTTTTGAAATGTAAATTCTCTCACTGCCCCCCACAAAGCGTCCTCGCGTGGTAATCACGCGCGCAAACCAAATAAGGTTAAACAAAATGAACTATATGTTTTTCGTATTATAAAGTACTTAAAGGTCTCCGGCACTCTCCCCCCATTGTCTACGATTAGTGGGGAATGTCAACTAAATATCCTCGTCCTCCGCCCAAAGTTTTATCTTCTCTTTCGCCAACACAGCCGCCGCTCTTCTGGGTCTGAATTCTCTAGCACGTGGGTCTAGGCTCTTTGGTTGTTCGCGATCGTCCTGCTTGGTTGACTCGGTTGACAATTCTAGAGGGTAAAGATCTTGTATCGGCCGGTCGATCGTCGTTTTCCGTGATCTCATTCGAGCGCCTCGCACCACTCCGTCACGTCCCTTAATCAGCTTCGTAACTATGCCGATATTCCATTTACCGCGATTTCTACTGTCGTTCTTGATTAACACTACTTCTCCGACCGTTGGCGTTTTATTCTTTCCCTGGTGTTTAAGGTTGTGTCGTTCTCTAAGGGCTCTCATATACTCCCCCGTCCATCTTTTCCATACAGCTTCCTTACTTCGCAGTACATGCTTTGCACGTCTTTTGATCTCTTCTTCTTCCGTCGAATCCCTTTCTTCGTCAGGAAGAACATACGATTCACCAGTTATCATCAGATTAGGGGTAAGAACTGACAACTCCACATCGTCTTCTACGTAAGTAAGAGGTCTGTTGTTTAAGCTGATCTCCACGTCTAACACGACTTCCTCGAGTTCTTTCCACTTCAAGTGCAACGCTCCTATCACCTTGTACAAAGATTGTTTCACCAGACCAACAAGTCTTTCATACTGACCGCCCCACCACGGGGCCTTGCTCAGATTAAACTGCCAGGTAATGTTGTTCTTCGCGAGAAAGTCATTTACTAGCTCACTCTTGGAAATCTTCCGGATTCTATTAGCCGCCGCCACGAACGTCTTGGCATTATCCGAGTATACTTTTTCTGGTTTACCTCTTCTCGCTACGACTCGCTTTAGACTACGCATAAACTCCTCGGTCGACATGTTCGGTAAGAGTTCCAAATGAACTGCTCTCGTAAGACTACACGCGAATAAAAGTAGATAAGCCTTCGACTTAGTTCCTGATCGGTTCTTGTACAGGAATGGGCCCGCGTAGTCGACTCCGATCACCTGGAATGGTCTGGTTCCCTGCGTTCGGTCCTTGGGTAGGTTGCCTGTGGGTGGTTTGTTAAAGGGGGTTACTTGAAATCTCTTACATCCGTTGCAATTTCTTCTCACTTTTTTCGTTAATTGACGTAGCCGTGGGATCCAGTAGCGTTTCCTCACCGCAGCCATCGTCATTCCGACTCCCCCATGTAAGGTGCACACATGTTCATGCATCACGATCTTCTCCGCCAGTTTTTAGTTGTTCAGTGTCATCGTATCGCAACTGTTCCTTCTTTATCCACCAATTGACTTGTTCTTGAATTTCCTCGGTGGTTAACACTCCACGACCCGGTTCCGTTGGATGCGATCTCAAATTGAAGAGAAATCGTGCTATC